GAGAGGACGCGGTGCGGACTGGCGGGGACATCCCGGCACGCCTCGGCGACGATTATCGCTCTCTCTCTCCTCCTCCCACCACCGTCTGTCCCTCCATGGCCGCCGCCGCCGCACTCAAGGACGTGCCCCGCGCTGCATCAGAGCATCCCAGCCCCCGCTCGCCCTCGCCCGTCGTCGAGAGGTCGCCCGCGCCCCAACGCCCGCCCAGCGACGCCCCCGCGCGCCAGGCGTCCCTCGCGCCCTCGCGCGACCCCACGCCCGCCGTCGACGCCGCCGCAACGCCTGCAGCGCCCGCAACCCCCGCGCCCGCGCCCGATGACGACGATGCCGAGGTGCGTGCGCGCGCCGTCGCCCGCGCCTGCTGACTCATGCCTCACTCATGTCCCCTGCCCCCAGGCCGACCCGTCCGAGACGATCGATATCGAGACGTTCCACCAGATCCTCGATCTCGACGAGGACGACACGCACGACTTCTCCAAGGGCATGGCCTGGGCGTACTTCACCCAGGCCAGCACGACCTTCACCGAGATGGACGAGGCATAGTGCGCCGCCCTCCTGCCTGCCTGCGCTCGTCGCGCGACTAACCGCCCGCCCGCCCAGCACAAAGAAGGACCTCGCGAAGCTGTCGTCGCTCGGCCACTTCCTCAAGGGCTCGTCCGCCGCGCTCGGGGTCGCCAAGGTCCAGGCGACCTGCGAGCAGATCCAGCATTACGGCCAGCTGCGCGACGAGGAGTCCGGCACCGACCTCACAGAGGACGTCGCGCTCGAGCGGATCGGCGCGCTGCTCGCGAGAGTAAAGAAAGACTACGTGGTCGCAGAGGCATGGCTGAAGAAGTGGTATGCGGAGAACTCCGTGCCCGGCGAGGACGACGAGGACGCGTAGGCCGCGCCGCGCTATGCCCGCCTGTTGTACAGGGAGCGGCTCGCCGATGCAGTGCGCAGAGGCGACACACGAGACGGTAGAGTATCCACCTGGTCGAGAGAGATCGCGATCGTGTGTCTGCTCGCGCGCCCCGCCGCTGATCGCTTGCCTGTCCAGACTGATGCTCGCCACGGTCTCGTGAGCGTGCACGAAGAGACCGAGTGGAAATCGAGAGACAGGGCGAGGCAAGGGGAATAGAGAGCGGTGGGGAGTAAGGGGAGTAAGGGGAATAGAGAGCGGTGGGATGGGGAGCGGGGGATTAGAGCGCGGTGGGGGAATAGCTGTAGGGCAATAGAGAGCGGTGGGGAGTGGGGAGTGGTAGGTAGGACAGTCTTACAAGGTAGAACAATACTGCAGTTACAATGAAATATATTTCATAGGCTTACTGCCACCCATACAATCTTGTCAAGTAATGTCTCCGCTATTCCGCCCATCGCTCTCTCCTCGCCCGCCATTGTCCCGTCTCCATCCTGCGTGCGCGCGCATCCCTGATGCACAGTATCGTCGGTACACCCCGGTCAGTGTGCTCCGCGCAGAGTCGCTAGCGCGTCGCAAAAGCACGCGCTGTCCCCGGTCAACACGATGCGACCGAGTCCAGCGCTGCGCGTCGGGGCAAAGATGCTGCACTGCAGCATCCCAGCCAGACCGGCTAGCAAGCGCGCAGGCCGCCACAGCGCATGCTGACCGGGCGCGCAACACCGCGCGTTGCCACTGTACGTGTTCGCCCTCGCGCCTGCCAACGCGGGCACCATTCCGCGCGCGAGGACGAACCCACCACGTCCGGATGCCCGCACACCGCGCCCGGTCAGCTCACTGACTGGAACCGTACCCGCGCAATGTTCTTGCGTACATTGCGCCCCCGATGGGAGGATGAGTATTGCGCCCGCTCGATTGTGCATCTTGCTCCCAGCCAACCAACCTGACTAGCGCGTGCCCGTTATTGCACTTCTGTAGGCCGCGGGATGCTCCGCCGCCTACGTCTGTAAGGCCACTGCGCGATGGTCAATACAGCTGCGAAGAGGTAAGCGCACTGCGACATTCCAGCCAGACTGCCACAGCGCATACTGACCAGGTGCGCAACGCTGCGCGTTCCCATTGTGCGCATTCGCGCTCGCGCTCGTGCCTGCAATCGCGGTCAGCATTCCGCGCGCGAGCACTCCCCACCATGTCCGGACGCTCGCACGCCCGCATGCTATGCCCGGTCAGCGCACCGCCTCGGACTGTCTCCGCGCGATTGCGCCCGCTCCGTTTTGCATCCCGCTCACGCCCGACGCGCCCAGCGAGCCACTTTCGTTCGCGCGCGCTCGTTATCTCACTTCTGTAGGTCGCGCCCGACACTCCGTTCTCCGCCGCCGCCTACACCTCAAGCCCGCCATTCAATCGTCAGTACGACCGCAAAAATGTAAGCCTAAACTTACTGTGGCGCCCTTGACGCAGCCCGCGGCTGACCCGGCTGACAGTGTAGCCATGCTGCCCGATGTGCCCGCGTCCAATCGCCGTGCTGACGACCAGCACCGCCGGTCATGACAATGGCCCGCATCTGGTGCGCCTGTCGATCGCGCGAGCGCACCCGGTCCCATAACTGGCCAATGTAAGCCTAAATAAATATCTCAGTATTTATCCCGCCGCACTCTGTGACATTCCAACTCACCTCGCCGAACACGATATGGTCCACGCACTGTGCTGCGCTCGCATTGCGCACTGTCCGCTCTGGCCACACAGCGCCCAACTCCCGCCTTTGATGCACGACCTATTGCCAGTGCGCTGGTCAGCAAATAGACATGAAACACATGCCAACAGTACTTACCATGTAGCTCGGCCCCAAGTGACATCCCACGCTCACTGTCGAGCATCCTGCTGCCGAAGCGGAAGCTGGACCCATCTCTGCCTGCGGCCGTACACTCCACGCCATGTGCCCTGTTCACCAACAGCCACGGATCGAGCACATAGGATGGCTCCTGCAGCTCACGAGCATGCACTGAGCACACCAGGTCCTTGTCGGCATCGCGCCATCTGATGCCTGCGCTGCGAGTGTTCGCGGCACGTCCTTGTCGCTGTTGCCCGCTTTGAGATCTGCGAGTGTGGCGCGCACCAAATGTTTGACCAAGGTGAAGCCGCAGAGTGACAGCAGTAGGCCAACTGGTAAAAGCAAGGTAGCAGGGAAATCATCACAGTAACATCACGCATCAGTTATATAGTCAGCACAGGTGGAACCTTTGATGTGTTGCGCCCATATCTTATTCTCGTACGTAAGTTGATGCCCTTTCCGGAAACATGATTGTTGTCAGACCACTAATTTCGGAGATTTGATGGGAATATGGCCCCTCGCAACAATGACAGGATTTGTAAGCACATTCACACGCTTTGAGCTTTATTTGGTAATTCTGCCTATGCACGCAAGACGTGTGCGCTGGCGAGAAGTGGCTGTGGGGCCGCAAGTGGGCAGCATAGGCTGGGTGACTAAGCACATCTGTACGCGATCTATGGGGTCACCTTCGACAGACATGCGATGACCTGAGGTGCAGCCAACAAGGGTTGATGGGGTGGGTGCGACATCAGAGTCGCTTGCGGGCTCCTGGTCGTTGGAGGACCACGAGGAGCGGTCGGGGCCTGTGAAGAACTGGGGATGGGGTGGGGTGTCCACAATATTGCACTCGCTGGAGGCCAAGTCACGACGGCAATGGCAGGAGGCTGAGCCGGCCTGGCTGCCCACGTTCACCTCGCATTTCCGTTCCTGTCTGGTCCCTCCCGTGTCAATTCATTACGCTTCCTACATGTATGAGCCAGCTGCCCATCATTCGCAGGCCCACACACACTCGGACGGAAACATCAAATGACAAAGTAATTTGGCGCGCGCCACATGTTGGAAGGGCATGTGCACACCCGTTGGCAAGGTGATAGGATGCGCACACATGCAAATAAAATATATGTACAGTTGTTCACAAATAGAATATGTATACGGTAGTGGGCTCACATGCTTGGCCAATGCCAGGCTGAGAAGAACACCACGCGAATGCAGCGCCCTCGTCTGGCAAGGATACAGACACATGGCGGCTTTGCGCAACTGAACATCGTGCATGTGTGCACGCGCTCAGCTGCATGCCACGCAGTAGAGCCTTCGACACTGTCTACAGCATCGGGAAGCGGCAGACGGCACGCAACAGATGGCTGCGAATAATAGTAACAGGCAGGAACTGTCTACCAGGGCACTTCTGCCCACGTGCCATGGAGACAGCGCCTCGTACATACATGTGCGCAACGCGCCGAGAGACCCGTCGTGGAGGCCCACAATGCGACAAATCTTCAGGCACATCTTGAGGCATGTCCCTCGAACTCAAATGACCGGGGAGGACGTGGGTCGGGCATGCAGCGCAGGCAGGGCGGCTGTGTCCATGGGTCGATGTGCCCGCGCTGTCTGTCGCATCGACGTCAGGCGAGCAGCGCGTCTGGTCTTCTGGACGTGACCCGGCGCAAGGGTGAGCTGATGCGCGGCTGTTCTCCCGTCGCATATCTCATCTGATGCTAGGTCGCGAGGGAGATGCGGGAGACACGAGATCGCGGTAAACCGTCACGTCCGCATGCGGGGAGCGTCCGTGCGAACACAACAGGGTGCTTGTGTGTACCGGGAGCGGGAGGCAGGAGTCATCTGCCCGGGGCATGTATGGCAGCACAGGGATATCAAAGGAAGTGATGAGCGCAGAGGGAGATGAGGAAATGGGGCGCCTGCCCTTGTGGCTGAGGCAAAGTGTCAGAATTGGGGACGGATGAGGTGAGGGACGGGCAGGAAATACGCACGGAGGAGTGGCCGTGCAGCGCAAGGCGGGAGAGGACGGGTCAGACACGGCTGACGCGGAATCCCCATATTGTGCGTTGCTAGGCCGCGTGTCCGTGAGCAACGAGCGCTGATGGAGATGGTCCGGGCGTGGGATGCAGCAGAGAGGCGGAGGTGTATAAGAAAGGGAGTAGCGCGAGGGATAGCATGCGTGGTCGCCCGCCCGTTGTCATTGTCATCGCCGCCTGCTGCTTAGCTGCTTATGATGGTTTGTGGGCGTTGAGGACGCCGTTCAGTAGCTCTGTCGAGAGGGGTCGGCGTCGGATCTGCGGTAGGTGACGCGGCGGTCGCGCGTCGTACGCACACTGATAACGGTCACTTTGCAGAATATATGGTATGGTGTTTCTTACCGCGCCACGTTCGCTGATGACCAGACGTACAGCCTCAGTGCGTTCCGCGAGCGTGGATATCGTGCGAACGCGTCAGCGCTGCACAGCACTTGCGCGTCCGATGGACGGGAATACACGCACCTGCCGGTGTCTGTGAGTATATGACCGTCCCCATTGGTGCCGCCCGTGCTGACCGTTTACCCCACAGGCTCTGAGCACTGCGCACTCGGTCCCCCCGATCTTGACACGCGTTGTACACAGCAATTGTGTGCCCGCGGTCACGCATGCCCGCGGTCCCCGTCCCGTCGATCCTTCAGTGGTCAGCCGAACATCACGCGCCGACACCCTAAAGTTCCTCACGCGGTGCGTGTGCCGCGCCCGTCCGCACGCGACGTACTGACCGGGCTCTGTTCCTAAGTCGCGCCCGCACCAGGGCCTGTGCTTGCCGCCGCCGCAGTTGGCCGTCCGCGTCCCCAGAGCGTAGATCGTGCAGAGCGCTGCTCGCGCGTCGCACACCGCGTGCCTGCGCACCCGCGCACCCGCGCATCCACGCAACGTACGTGTCTGGGCTCCTGTCTCTGGCAGCGCCGCAGCTGACCGCCGGTGCCACAGCATCGCCATGCCAAAAGCCAACCGCCTTTGCTACCAGATACGGCGCGGCGTTCCACACGCCCCCGCCCATCTGGTCATTCTCGCTCGCATTGGAGGCGGACGCTAGCAGCCGCTCGGGGCACGCTAGCGAAACCGTGCGGAACTTGAAGTGCGCGCGCACGGACTCACAGGTGGTAGGTGCCGGGCTCCGGGATCCCCGCGGTGGCGCATTCCATTCAGGCTAGGCGTCCGCGCAATCGTTGAGACGCGCCCGCTGAGATCCCCGCCGCGTGGAGTAGCCAAGAGACGACGAGTCGGCGCGGGGTGTGTGTGCATGGCTGCCCGTGTCCCGCTACCATGCTGACGGTACCTGGCGTAGCATTATTGCTTCCGTATGTCTGGCGAGAGCACTTCTGGATCCGCGCGTGCGAGCACCGCGGGTTAGCAGGCACAGGCTGATTGACGCTGTCCGGACGTCGGGCAGGTAGTTGCGTGCGGCCTTATTCCATCAACATAGCAGCCGCGTGATCGTTAAGGGACCGCCGTTAGATACCCGCCGCGCGATGTGATCGGGAGAGGATGAAGCGGCGCGGGTGTGAATGTGTGCGTCAGCGTCCGACAAATTATGTTGACTATGCCTGGGCTCGGCCCAGCGTGGCGTTGTTATTTCCGCGCGCCTGGACACGCTATACAGACACAGAGCGTACCGAAGCTGTTCAGCGCACGCAAAGCGCTGGCAAACGTGCGAGAGATCATCCTTCGCTGAACTCGGTCCGCTGCTGTTAAGTTGTGCGTCCGACGAGGTTTGGCGGCGTGGGCGTTGTGAGGTCGATCGACGGCGCCCGACACCGCGGACAATTCGCGTCCTGGTCGCTGCTCTGAAGCACCGGCGGCGGCGGCGGCGGCGGCGGCGGTTGGATGTAGGCGCAGTGGGGCAGTCGTCGGATGGCGGAAGGCGGGCGTAGCGAGCTGTTAGGGACATGAGGGAGGCGAGATCGTCAGTAGACAGGTAGCGGTAGGTTACGCGTGTGAGTAGAGACTGACCGGGGAATGAGGAACGCCCGGCGTACCCGCGCGCGATGTGTGTATCCTGTGAGAGGACGGGAGCGGAGTGAGTGCGATAGCGCGGGACAAAGACGGCACGCACGGACAGGATCCCCTGAGATCAGGCTGTGCGACTGGCGTGGTCTGACGGCGCAGGCGGGGTGCGCAGGACGCTGGGGGGAGCGGACGCCTCCGTCTCCTGCGTCTGAATCTCGCTCCTCCCGCGGCGCGCTCGCGGTGCCTGTGTTGAGCGGGGCGATCTTCTGTCCGTGCGCGCGCTGGCTGGCTGCCGGTCGTCGTTTCCTTGACGCCGGTAGGATGTTGCCTAGAGCCCGTCGTCCGTCGCACGCGCATGCGCCATTGCCCACGGTGAGTCTTGCGCGTCTCTTGCTCCCGCGTCACCCGTCGTCTGAGCTCACTCACTTTGCTCGCGCGTGCCGTCCGTGCGTCCTCCGCCGTGCGCGCGCCCGCGTCGACGCTGTCCTGGCGAGCCTTGCCGTCGACAGCGGCTGCCCCGGTGGACGCGGAGCGCGGGCGCGGGCATCGCATGGCGCATGGTGCATGGCACGCTACTGACCGCGACGTCTTCCGCGGGCCCTGGACATGGATCGATGAGCCATCGTCGCGCATTCTGGTTGCGCGCGCACTCACCGGTGGCCTGCAGACAGCAACGCGGCTCTGGCGTCGCGGCGTCGCAGCGTCGCGCCCCGTGTGGCGTCAGTGCCGGTCAGCGCCATCGGGTCGAGCGCATTCTGCTGTGCGGCCGACGATTTCACGCGATGGCGCGAGAGCCATGTGCATGAGAGCGCGTGGACGGCAAGAAGTGAGCACATACGGACGGCGTAGGCAGACGCCTTCTGACATGCGGATGCTGGCGTGCGGACGAGCTCGCACATGCAGTGTATAAGACGCGGGAGGCTGCGCGTGGTCGTAGCCGGCGAGGTTGACGGCGAGGACGAGGAGACAGCGCGGGCGAGCAGGCGCGGACGGCGCGGGGGCGAGGAGGAGGGGACGACTTGCGTGAGGGACGCGTGCGCACGCTGTGTCAGCGCAAGACGAGCAGGGCTGAGGGATGGCGAGCGCAACAACTGCGGCTTGGCGCGCTGCTTGACGTGACGCGGCTTGAGGCGCAGCGCGTGCTGAATACGCGAACTGCATGGGCGGGCGGAGGCGGGGACGCTCACAGTGCGACGCGAGCGGCCAGGAGGCGAGGTTGACGAGGAAGAAGAGGCGGCAGCGCGCAAGGTCTGCACGGGCTCACAGAGGCGGCGAGTGCGGAACGCGCCGTAGGAGAGAGCAGGCGCAGGGTAGGCAGGCATAGACGATCAAGTGAGTGAGAGCGCGAGGGACGCAGAGCAGATGGGAGACGAGACAGGCAAGCGACAGGCAAGCGACAACGCGAGCGAGGCGCGATCGACAGTGCACGACCGCGATGGGATGCATGACGTGCGCCGCGCCCGCGCATTCTTTGCGATGTGGTGTGGGCGCAGTGCATGAGCGCATTGTGTATGATCCTGTTGAGGACAGCTGGATCTTGCTCGATCGCCGATCGGTGCGCCATCACGCACGCGACTGCAGTCAAGTACTTGTAAAATAGATAAGCTCTACTAATCCCCACAGACTGTACAAACTCATCGTTCAACCTGCATGTATCCAGAAACGCTTAGTGAACGTTGATATGAAGGCCGCACCAACGTGCACGCTTCCCAGAAATGCACGCGCGCAATGTGGGAGAGCTCAGACGGATGCGGACGGGGGGCGCTTGCTCGCTCCCGCATTCATCGATGACGGCCTCCGCGACGATAAATAAGAATAGTTGTAGTGTAGAGCGTGCGCAGGAGCGAACACAAGGGCGTGGAGCACATCAACACAGCTGAGACTGCACCCGACGGCAGGAAAAAAGAAAAGTGGAGAGGACGCGGTGCGGACTGGCGGGGACATCCCGGCACGCCTCGGCGACGATTATCGCTCTCTCTCTCCTCCTCCCACCACCGTCTGTCCCTCCATGGCCGCCGCCGCCGCACTCAAGGACGTGCCCCGCGCTGCATCAGAGCATCCCAGCCCCCGCTCGCCCTCGCCCGTCGTCGAGAGGTCGCCCGCGCCCCAACGCCCGCCCAGCGACGCCCCCGCGCGCCAGGCGTCCCTCGCGCCCTCGCGCGACCCCACGCCCGCCGTCGAGGCCGCCGCAACCCCCGCAGCGCCCGCAACCCCCGCGCCCGCGCCCGATGACGACGATGCCGAGGTGCGTGCGCGCGCCGTCGCCCGCGCCTGCTGACTCATGCCTCACTCATGTCCCCTGCCCCCAGGCCGACCCGTCCGAGACGATCGATATCGAGACGTTCCACCAGATCCTCGATCTCGACGAGGACGACACGCACGACTTCTCCAAGGGCATGGCCTGGGCGTACTTCACCCAGGCCAGCACGACCTTCACCGAGATGGACGAGGCATAGTGCGCCGCCCTCCTGCCTGCCTGCGCTCGTCGCGCGACTAACCGCCCGCCGCCCAGCACAAAGAAGGACCTCGCGAAGCTGTCGTCGCTCGGCCACTTCCTCAAGGGCTCGTCCGCCGCGCTGGGCGTCGCCAAGGTCCAGGCGACCTGCGAGCAGATCCAGCATTACGGCCAGCTGCGCGACGAGGAGTCCGGCACCGACCTCACCGAGGACGTCG